TGTGCACGGCCGCCATGTCAGCACAGGCCCCGCGCGCGGCCGCCATGTCAGCACAGACCCTGTGCACGGCCGCCATGTCAGCACAGGCCCCGCGCACGGCCGCCATGTCAGCGCAGGCCCCGCGCGCGGCCGCCATGTCAGCAAAGGCCACAGCCTGAACGGGCCGTGAGGGAGCCGCGCTGGAAGCCACGTGCTGGTTGTGGGGCAGGCTCCTTCCCATGCTCTAAATGCTTCAAAGCGGCACACGGCTTTCCCTGTGCCTCCTGGGCTGCCTGTGGTGGTTGTGGAGATSATCTGCGCAGAAGCAGCCCTGCTGAGAACCCCCTTAGTGCAAAGGTCCAGGCTCCTGCTTGCATCGCTGACAAAAGCAACTTTAAAATGGCTGCGATCAGGTCACCAAGTAACCTGTCTACAGTGGCACGTTCCTATCGTGCAGTAACTTTCTGCTTTCTTCTGATATCTCAGAACCTGAGACTGAATCTGTATGGAAGGATGCAAGATACAACAAAGAAGAAAATCCAGTGCTTTGCTGAAGACTGAATTCCTTTTGTGAGTTTAATACCCTTTTACAAGGCTCTCCTAATTCTTTTTTTTTAATAAGAAACATTTAAAATTAAAACCCAAATGTGCTTGCGTTAGGTAGCACACAGCATTTGCTTGTCATGTGAATGACACGTCTCTCCTGCGAGCAARGCTTTCAAAGCTGGCGCCAGCAGGGACAGAGAGGATATGCTCAGATGCTCTGGGCTCGGCCATCAACCTGAGCCGCAATAAGCGAGAGGCTCTAAAGCGACCACTTTAGATGCGTGCCCTGGTCTTACGCTGCCTTAGGCTCCCTCCTACGTGGGCCCTGGGAAGAAGGCAGAGGGCTAGAGCCATGGTTGGTATGGCCCAGCAAGACCTCCCCTTAGCTCTTGAGGAGTTYTACAGTGCCTGAAGTAATTTCAGTCTTAGGTGAGATTTAATAGATAGTTATACTTAASAGCTGGTACCTAATAACTGAAGGAATTGTAACCAGCTTTTTGATTAAGTTATTACTGTTCAATGATTAAAAACAGGAGGCCCTGTAATTATGTCAAGTTTTCTTTTAAACTATTTTAGGCCTGCGTCCAATGAAACTGGTGTTCCCCTCACTCAGTATTACCTGTATCTTCCCTAAACTCAGGTGGGTGAAAAGGGAGCTAGGCAGCGCTCTACTGGGGATGCCCCGAGCCCCATGGAGGTTGGAGCAGGCTGCAGGTGTGAGGCTGCCGCGGCCACCTCAGCCTGGCCCCGCTCCTCCGGCCTCCGCAGCCCCGGGGCTGGAACACACGGACGGCTCCAGGCTTGGCCTTCAGCCCTCCTTGCCGGTGACMCGGAGGCGCCGGACAACCCCCATCAGCTCAACCCGGGGCCGTGGGCCTGCCCTGCTCTTTTAGCTAGTCTGGCCATAGTTTTGTGAGGAGTGGGACTGTAATTATATAGGTTATAATATTAATCATATTATGTAACTGTATTATGTAACTATATAGGTTATAAGGTTATAATATAGGTTTATTTAATTACATATCTCAGCTGTTCTTTTAATTCATCTGTATAACAGAGAGCATTCTGAGATCCTGCTATTATTATGGCTGATATTTTATCTTCAGGACTAAACTATCCTCTGGGAATCATAATCGAAATCTCTACAGGTAAGTAGTACTAAAAAGAAGTTTTTCTGTTTAAATGCAGGGGAGTGGGGGGAAGTTATTTTCATGCATCTTAGATATTGTTCAAAAATGTTACTGCTAATAGAAAATGTTATCTCCGTTGTTTTGCCAGTTTTAGATTAAATATACAGACTGCGTATAGCTTACTCAAAAAATGTCTGTGTATTTCAACTCACACTTTCTTTTGATCTCAGAGTCTCGCCCTCAATTCTGCATATGGAAGAAAAATCATAGTGCTGTTTGTCCTTGTTACCTGAACTTGGAATAATGACAGGTAAGAAAATACATTTAGGTATAGTTCTGGGTGCTAAAGCAAAAGCCATGAATTTTATGTTTGCCTGACTTTTGAAAGGCGTGTTAGGCACTCAGCCAAACCGTTTTGACAGGTTTTACAGGAGTATTATACCTCCAAACCTGGATTATTTGCAAACTCTTTCCATTTCCCCCATCTTGACTTCCACCTCTTCCAATTATTTTCTAATCATGAGCAGAAAAGGGCACAGAGATTAGAAAAATATTCCAGTGATCAAGGTCTAGCTGTTTCTGCATTAAATCTGTGCCAGTTTTATACAAGATTTGTGGCATTAACTGACACTTTCAGAAGTTTGTAGCTTGGTTTACTCTGAAGATGCCAATTGCATAACAAATAGCACAAATAACGCAAGTGCTGCCTCTTGTACAAAACACAGAGCAAATTTTCTACGTACTTGACCTGCCACATTTGTTAYTGTACATTCATTTCCTATAAAACATCAGGAAACATAACTGCTCTGCTTCAAGTGTCTAATTTCAGCTGCAATGAGACTATCAAGTAACATTCCTGGTTACTGGCACCTAGGAAGAATTCTGACAGGATGATGTGCTCTGAGCATGYGCAACCTTCAGGCTGCTGCAACTTCAGATTTTCCAGCTGAATTTTCCTTCACTCCACTTTAAATCARTCAGCTTAACCTGGACTGTGGCTTGAGCTCTGTGCATCTCCAAACCTGATCTTCAAAAGCGGGATGAAGATCCCATCTAATGCAAATCCTACATGCCTAGAGAACAGGGCTACAGATGCATTATATTATTATTACAGATGTGTTATTATATGCAGATGCACTATTTTCTTTCTAAACCTTTTCTTTCCTTTTCATTTTCCAGTACCCTGAACTATTTCTGGCAACCTGAAAACTGTAAATAAAGGATATACCCAAGATGAGGGTACCAGCATCGCCTAGCTGAGGCACAGCAGAGGAACTTCGTTAAGAACCTGCAGTGCTAAATTACATGCTGCTTAGTGCAAAACAAACTATCCTTTTGGAAGCAGGGGAGAAGTCCTCTGTCCTTGGCCTTCTGCAGAGGCAGAGGGACGCAGCGTCACGAGAGGGGGCTGCCTGCAGCATGTGGAATAGAGGAGAGTCCTTGATTTATGGGGTAACACGGTGCAAAGAATGTGGCAACAATCGGCTTTTGTATCAAGTGGGGCTGAGGCAGTGAGTTCAGTGAGCAACTATGCAAGTGATTTACTGTGAATATATTCCAAGGGTACAAGTATAATTCCTACTTAGTGCAGATGACAAGACAATAGAGGATTATACAAACCACAACACCAATAATGAAAAAAATAATGTTTTTCTTGCCTCGGCAGACTTGGAAAGGTCTGTGCTGCTGCCTTCTCACACTTTCCTTTGGCGTCACTTTGGGGATAGAGATTAGGTGAGTTACTGTTCAAGGGTACGTTAAAAAGTAACTACAAACTCTCGGCCTGTGTGAAGCTGGAGGCCTGTGATTACACACAGGTTGTGTCTAAAGGTATAARGTGCTTTTTTGCCAGGACAACTTTTACCATTTGTGCTGCAAACTCTGTGAGAATAGGTACTGACACACTGCTTGTTACTGCAAGCATGGCATGCAGAAAGCAGGGAGGACAGCAGAGCAACTCAAACAGATGCTGAGAAGATTGTCAACCACGGTGTATCAATTCAGTGTTTTAGAGGCCAGCCACGTATGAAGTCTAGCAATTAACTTTACAGGAATTGTTTTGTTCCCAGTGAACCTGTGTCATCAGTCCTAACCTGATTTCTACTGTAAGCTTGCAGAAAGGCAGCTGAGCATGAGGAAAAGAAGAAAAAGAATGCTGTCCGTTTTAGAATACAGGATATTCTGTCTTTGAATCTGAAAACAGTATCTTAAGTTATCAGCTACTGTCAGTAAGTTAAGTTTCTTGTCAGCTCTCCCACCACTGCATGAAAAATATACCTGCCTTTTACCTTTACCACCTCTTGAAACAAAAACAAACAAAAAACCCTGCTCAGTTTCATGCTTCAACTTTCCTATTTTTGAAAAGCAGTGTCAAAAAAAACATTTACTATGCGAATAATGAAGTGTGCGAGGAAGAACTCAACAGTGTTATTACTTTTCAATTTCTACCAAAAGAATCACATACTTCGCATAAAATAACATGGTGGGTTTCCTTTTTTCTTTTATATTCTCCTTATAGAATTTGAATGGAGTTCTGTATTTGGTCATTCTTTATTTGGAAAACTTTCAAAACCTGCTGCATTGCAACCGGAGCAAAATCCTTATGCAATTTCCAAAAATGATCGTTCYCCACTACAAACAGATGGAGAATTCCTTGCTGTGCTTTCACACCAATCAAACACATTTGTTACTAGTACAATTCCAGTGGTGCACTCTAGATATAGGTTCATTAATGTTTTTAATTTGAAAATCATATGAAAAGGCACCTGAAGTTTAACACCGCTGGCAAATATGTATACATGTATGTATACATTATGCATATGTTGCATATGTTACGTAAACTGCCTTACGGCCCTGATTAGCTCTGAGGAACCCTTGGAGTATGAATCGGCCTGGAGCTCTCCCTGGGGACAAACCCTTGTGGATAAGGGCATGGCAATGGCCACTTTTAGGAGGATGGAGAAGGACGGTTTCTTTTTGACATCATCCACCTGAGTTTCTGAAGTGACTGTATGTGATGACCAACTCACAAGCCACGTTCCCCTGGCAAATCCCGTGCTATGCGGAGGATGGCAAAAACACAGTGATTTGGATGGTGGCTTCTAGTTTTTCAGCAACACAAGGTTGAGCTTGTGTAAGAACAATTGAATTAAGCACCTCTCTCCTTCCTTCCTGAGCCTTCCTGTCATCTATTCCATTTTTTAAGCATAAGCACTATTCAGCTTGTAAGTGCAGACAGTTTCTAGCATCAGTGGAACCACRCAGAGGAGCTATCCCAGCAGATACAATATTTACATGCAAGATTTGGGACTTGGCTGTTGGGAAACAGAGCCTCACTGGCTGTGTCCGCACAAGGAAAGAGGTAGGAAAAGCTCTGTGTCACGTTAAACATCAGGACATGCCACAAAGAGGTAGCAAGTTTCCTTCTTATAAGCAATTAACTGATGGTAACATTTTCCCCACTCAGACTACAAAAATGCTGCAGGAAGTAAACAGGTAAATATTGGTTTCCCTTTTTGATTATTTTATAGAAAAAACAGTATCCAAATTTCCATAAATTCTTACTTTGATTTCTTCACGTAGAGCCAGTAGACAACGCCTGCCACCAGAGCAGCCAAGAGAAGACCAACTACAATTCCCACTATTAGYTTTGCTTGGTCATTAACCTTTTCTCTATTGTCATCTGAAGCAAAGAAGAAGAAGTTAATGAGGTGAGCTACGATAACATAAAGCATTACACAATTTCTACAAAATTATGTTCAAAAACAAGAAAGGGAGTCGGAAAGTAAAAAATAAATMAAAAAATAACAATAAGCATGGTCCTTAAAAATATTTAAAGCTTCAAATTATTCACATTCTTAGCCTTACATGGCATTAGCTATTTCAAATCAAGTCCAGGTGTGAGCCACTGTGTAAAGTGGTATGTCTTGAACTAAGGCACTCAAGAGAACGGGTTAGGGAGCTGGAAAGACATACATACCATTTCTATCCTCTGGCTCATCATATTCTGGAATGCTTACTGAAATGAAAAATGTTAAAATGAAATTAAAAACAAAAAATTTGTTGATACCAGAAAATTACATTCTTTTCCTAGGCTGCAATATTTCTCAAAACAGTTGTCTAGTTACAGCAGTGACAGAAATAATAAAACTTAATGCAACATTTGCCAAAAAGCAAGGTAATCAATCTCATCTTTAAGCAGGAATCGTTGCTTTATGGCTGTAATAATATATCATATTGAAGAATCTTATTCAAAAACTTTAATATTAATCTCATAAATACTTCCAACTATGCATTTCCACATTTTCCTTTCATAAACAATAGTTTCATCATTGAAAATGGACATTTAATTAAAATCCAGTGTGGCTGAATTCTGTTCTGAATCAAGTCTTACCAGTAATGATAAAATTCAGAGATTATCAGATGACAATCACTTAGTAAGAAATAAAAGGCAAATTTTATAAATCATATATTGCCCATGTAACACAGCTTCATTAAGATGACTAAATTCTTTCATTCAAGCCTCACCAACAAATTCTATGTACTCTTAATCCAAGCTGGTTTACTGATTGCTTGACTTGAAAACAGAAAGATTTTTTTGTCTGACCTTAACACTGTCAGTGCTCTGCTGTCCTACTCTTCACAGGATTATGAAGGCAGACACTTTATCTGAAAAAACAACTTTAAGGAAATGGTCTTAGCAGATACTCACTAGCAGAGACATTCATGGAGGTTACAGTTCTTTCTAATTGATTTTCTGCAATGCAGGTTAAAGTCACATTCTCTTCAGGTGCAATTACAATTTTACTGGAAAATCTTCCATTAACGTATTTGGTCTCCTCTGTCTATTTAAAAAACCCCAAAAAACACAAATATCAATAAAAGAAGATTAGTATCCTTAAAACGGCAAAGAACCTGTATTATACACTGGAAATGTTTGGAAGGAAACTGTTATCAACTCCTACTTTTAAAAGCAACAGAGAGTAACTTATATTTAAAGTATAAAGGAAAATACTGCATGCAGCACTAAATATACAATYGAAAGTACTTTGAATAGTATTGAAAGTATTTCTTTCTGAAATAACAGTATGTCAAAGTATTTTCTTGTAAATATTCATGTCACTGTTTTATTAATATGGGAATATTTACAAGAAAATACTTTGGCCAAGATATAGAGTTATATCTGTATTATATCTTGTGTAAACAAGAACATTGGTAGAGAGACTTTTTTTTGAAGAAATGTAATCACTTTTTGCATTTGTTTTTGTTTCTTTAAACTATTTCTAAAATATTGTTAGTGGCAAAATTCTCCTGGAAATATGGAAGTTCTAAGAGATTCTAAGTTCTCATTTCTCTCAATCTCTCACTATTTTGCATTTATACTCCCTTATAATAAGAGTTATGACTGCAAATTTTCCACTTTCTGACATCAGGCTCCTCAGTCATTTCTACTTTAAGTACTACTTGCCAAGCTATGTGTAGTACCTGCAGTATCCACACTGTGATGTGGAGCTGCTCCTTAAATTTGCTGTACGTCGCTCTTAGATTAATGCAATCCCCAGAAAAATTACTGTCTATTATTTATATAGCTTCAAGACAATTCCTGCCCTATAGCTGCAGTGAATGGACAAATTTTGACCTTGCTGACCMTACATCACTCTCGTAGGACTAAAGCAAAACCTAACGGGATTAGTAACATGTACAGATGGACTGTGCATTGTACATCCAGTCTCTGATTGCTTGTATGGATGCCTAATTTATTTCTCCCTTTAAAGCAAAATGTGGCAATTCTTCATATATGATTTGGTAATCAATGTGCAAATACTTTAGACTGTTTGTTTTCCAGATATTTTTCCTGCTGTATATGGATATTCTTTTTTTTTTTTTTTTCTCCCAAAGGATGATGGTGTTATGGTTCTCTTACCAATGAAAAATGATGGGTATAACCATACAAAAACAATCACAAAAATCAGGACGAGAATTGCAAGGTCTAAAGTGGCCATGCTGATCATGTTTTATGACTTGTGTAGTCCATAGCATTTCCCCCAGTCAATGCTTACATCAAGCACCTGTTTTCTAAAATAAGTTGGATAGTTCCATCATTAYGAATAAAGTCATTAGGCAATGACAAAATCATCACATCAACCAGAGAAAATGGGCAAGTGCACCCATTTAAAAGGCACATTTAATTTCTGATAATAATCTATAATAAATATTACTATAAAATGAAAATTTATTATATTACTATAAATAATACATTAATAATTATTTTTTTTCTTTTTCCCCTAGAGCTTCAGCGTGTAGCCAAGTGGATCTTCTGTGCCTTCAGCTGCTGCAGTCATGCTCTTTATCATCAGCAGCCATCCATGCAGGTACAATCATCACCACCCTCTCTTAGACCGAGTGCTGTTCATCTCCCCACCTGGAAAACCTCCCTTGACATTAAATCCCACCTATCTTTTTGTAAGTAAGTTAATAGGAAAGATACTTGCTTTGTTTAGGATGCTGCCAGTACCAGTAACTGTCCACTGCACTGCTGGTTTGGGGAAACCTTCCACGTGGCAGACAATTGTTTTAGACATTTTATTTGTGTCAGTTTTCTTTGTAATTTTGACTTGAGGTTTTCCTGAAAGAACAATATTATAATTAACCATTTTGTTAGTTTATCACTGAACAGGGAAATTCCAAATCATGCTCCCTTACCTTCTACAATAAGTTTAAGCGTCTTCCTTTTCTTTAACCCTTCAACCTCCTGCAGGGTGGTCTCACAGATGTAGTTTCCAGCATCTTGATACTGAAGGCTGGAAAATGATGGGCTCGTTTGCATTCTGGTGTTGTCCTGTTAAAGTGGGGAGTTAGTCTCTATGGATTCTAACCCAGAATACATTATCTCTAAATGAAAAGCATGAAGAGATTCAACAGAATTCTTTATGCTCTTCGCTGCATTAGACCCCTCGTGCTCGAGTATTGCCCATTAACCATTATGTTTCAGAAGGTGACGGCAACATGATAGCACGAGAACCAGAAACTACTGAAGGTTTATTTAAACCATGATCCTTCTTCTAGATCAAATTTGCTTTCAAAAATGGGGCACAGGTGGGATCAAGTTAGCTGTCCAAACATACTAGTGGTACAAGCTGTGATAGGAAAAAAAGCCAATACCTCTCCCCTAGGAAGCAAGCTTATGAGATGAACATATGCTGCAAAACGGCCATTAGATATCACTTCTTTTGGTTTCTATCAATACAGGTGTGATTTAAACTATCTATGTTAAGTGATCATTTTTACCAATTTAGTTTTACTCACTAAACAGCCAGTCACCAGTATCTAATCTTTCAAGCTGCCTTGTCCTTTTCAACGGAAGCCATAGAAAAACTGAAATCTGTGGCTCCAATTTCTCCGGTGGGGCTACCCTTCTAATTAGGAACTGATTCTCAAGGGCCTTGTATAGACCATTTAAAGAAGTACTTGATCCTTGCAAGKGTTACAGTAGGCATCCAAAATTGCTTATCCGCATTTGAAAAAATCAATGCCAGAATTACAGTAACTAGTCATCAACTTGAGTCACTATCTCTTAATTTAGCAACAACACTCATTTTAGCATATACTTTAAATCAAATCCAATGAAAAAGGCTTGATCTCTTCCAAAACACTGAAGTAATGGCAGTAATCTTAAGAGATGAATATGCAGATAAAGTATATGAATTACTAACCTTTATCCAAAACACAGTTGCATTCCTACTAGAAGAAATTGTGCATGACACAGGCAGGGCCTCTCCAATCTGTTTGGTGACTTCTCCGCTAGGCGTAAGCTGCAAATCTAAATCTGCAACAGGAAGARCATTTATCAAAAGGCTTATCTCAGAACGCTGCCTCATTTCAGAGTCTTAACAAGGAAAGGAAATCTGACTAATTGCACTCATTAAATTCACAATTTCTTTTTCTTTTTTTTTTCCCCAATACAATCTAAGTCAATTTTAGAAGTAAGGACGAAAAGACATTATTCTAAAATAAGCCTCATACAACATAGATTTCTTGGTACAAGTACAAGCTAAAAGTAAGAGAGAAACTTCACTGATCACTAGACAAATGGATACCTTTTTTTCCCCACTTTGTAGTCCTGAAAGGAGGCACATGAAGTGGCAGGAGTCCTTCAAATAGCTCTTGAAAGGGGAAGCACAGATTGCTCTGAGGGTAGGTTGTTAAGAGCTAGGTAGGAATGTAGTTTCAGGGGACGGCTCATGCAGGTGAGGCCAGAAAATTCAAACAGTTACTTAGAAGAGCGTGAAGAAGAGGGCGAGAGGACAAAAGGTGAAGTTCTGGAATTTGATAACGCAAGTTCATTTTTATCCTGAGCATATGGAGAAGCTTTTGAAGAGGATGAGGGTGGATAAGACACGCTACTGASTGGAAGGGCAAGCTAGACTGAAATAGATGGTTGGGAGGCCACACATGAGGTCGCTGGCTTCCTTTCTTCTCCTTCCTAACCTTGAAGAGCACCGTTCACTGTCCCTGTGCAGCTCAGGGCCCAAGCTCTGCCTGACCTATTTGGGCTCCAGGGAAGCTGCACAGAGGCAGCGATGGCYGTGTAGGCACCAAGCAGGCTGAGACACAATGCTGGCAAGGTCAGGGAATGCTCTGTTAGATCTTCCTAGCACGTGGATTTGGCTGCCTAAGCCTCGCTCTTTCCCAAATCCTCTGCCCTGAAAGAAGAGCAGGGTTTGCYAAGTCAAACATCTGCTTTGCTTCTGTTTTGCAAGGCTCAGCAGCCCAGGTGCCTGGTCAGCTTACAGATGTGCACACACACCCCCAGGGACACACACACCCAGGGACACCCTGCACGGCAAGGCTAATGCCTTGTCTCGCAAGGTCACAAAACCTGCACCTGTGGACGAGCAGGGATCTCATCAAAGGGGGTAAATGATTTTTTTTTCCCTTTTTCCTCTGCATTTAAGAGGATGCCTTGTCCCTCTTTTCCCTGCCTCCCCAAGCTAGCAAACCTACCTTTTCTTCTACAAGTAGAAGAACGACTYGCTGAATATTTGTGTGTACTTTATCAGATGGCTCACAGGATGTTTTCCTTTCTGCTCTGTTATGCCTGAGTACTTGCTACCACCGTAGAGGGGAGGTGGATGAAAAAGCTGAGGATTGTTTTCTTGGAGTGACACTCTTTCAGCATCTGCTTAAGCCCTGATTTCTTTGAAGCAGGCTAACCCCTCCAACTCAGGAGATCACAGGAGAGCACTCGAGAGGCATTCCTGTCACACACACACATCACAGGAAGCAGGAACTCATTAAATTTTTGGCCTTCATCTCCGGCAAGACTGACACTCAGCCCGGAGCTATCCTTCAATCCCGGCTTCTTCCTAGGGAACTTGGCTGTGCCCCTCGCTTTTGGTGGTAGAACTGAGACTACAGTCCCTCTTGCACACTGCTGTAGGTTATTACAGAAGTTCAGACAAATTTATAATATGCAAGTCTAACTGCATAGCTCAGAGCAGAATTTGTGAGGTGATTTAGGAGGCAAGTATAGAATTAAGCCTCTGTTTAGCATTGGATTCCCTCTAGGAAGTCTCCATAGAGCAATTTGATTTGGATTAATATTCTGCCAGTTTATCTGTAGGGTCCACAAAGAAATGTGATATAGATACTTTTACTTCTCAACTTACATGCTTCATTAGTAAGTAATCTGTGCTGGGTACAGAAGTATGAAGGGAAAATAATTCTTGCCATAGAGAAGACTGTCAAAATTGATCTTCTTAGGCTTTAAAGAAAAACTCGCTTGCAAGAACTTCCCCTACATTCATGGGTTTGGCTTTGAAACTTTGTAAACAAACTTCTCATTAGGCACCATTGTCAATATCTGCCAGTTCTTAATGTGGTCTCCCTCGAAGTCCTGCATTGGCTTCAGGGCTGTCCTTGCACACCAAGCACCACAGGGACAAGGCAGGGCGCCTTGTCGTGGTATGGAATGATATGGGGAAAGCTAGGGCAACTATTGCTAAGGTTTCCTAAGCTGCACTGCATGGGTAGGTCTGTCTCTGAGSCTTTAAGGAGGTCTCGGATGGGATACCCTGTGCGGGCTGGGAACAGTGCCCAGCACGTGCACSGAGTCTCAACCCTCCAGGTACAGCAGCAGCCCCCCAAAGATGACTTCTATATTTTCAAAATGCCTGTAGCGCAAGAAAACAGAAATATCAGAAGTATCTATGCCGAAACAGAAATAACAAATTTCTAAGACCTTTGAATTTACTGGAAGATTGCAACCCTGGAACACACATTTTGGCAGAAAGGAAGTCTCACTGAGCTGCTTGCCGGGGCGTCGTGCAGTTCCAGTAAGACCTAAGAAAAAGGACTATGGGTGGAACTACCTGCTCTAATAGCCAGTGCCCTAACTGGCTGATACAGAACAAAAATTATTAGAAATAGAGTCAGAGATGGAAACAGGAATTACCACCTTGCCCATTTTTATGAAAATCACGAWTCTGGAATGCTGAGATCAGAAGTATGGAAATAAAAAGCCCTGAGCTCAGAATGAAAACTTTTCCAGTGTTACATCACAGACAGGAATGCTCATCCATATGTGARAAAGGAAGCAGGAAAGCAAACCCACCAATACAGAATTCAATTCCAAATTGTGCAAAAGACGACGGTAGGATTCATCAGGAGTTAGCATTATTTCAAGGGGAAAAAAAAAGCAGGAAGGCATAATTATTCTGATCTAACACCAAAAACCAGTATACTGAATGCCAAAAATATCGACAATTACTCTGGTATGCCAGCAAATTCATGTGAAAGAAAGCAGTAGGAAAAAAGGAAGAGATTATTAAGTTAAAGTTGTTATATTAAATTATATAAAAATTATATTAAAGTTATTATTTCACTTTTATGACTTTTTCAGAAGAGCTTTCCTTTCAACAGCACTTGCTGTGGAAATGCTTTAGAGCAGCACAAGGCAAACCACCAAAGCACCTTTCAGATCCAGGCTGTCCCACGGCTGCAACAGTTGGCATATTCAGGAATTACTGGAGTATTCCCAGCCACTGTGCCTCACTTTGGAAAAGACTTTACTTAGGAGGGAGGGGCTTGTTTAAGGGGGAAAAAAAGAAAAAATGGAATAAGGTGCTGGCTGCCCTCGATGCCTTCTGAATAACTGCCCAGCCAGCTGCCAACCCTGGGAAGATCTCTGCCAGGAAAACACAGGATTCTCTGGTACGGCAGAGCTCTTCTGACGTGCACATAAAATAGCACAGAAACGAACCTGGCTTGTTATAAATAACCTAGATTTGAAGAATTTATTCTTTGGAGTGTCTGCTTGTGGAAGGCCAAGTAGTCAGGCAGTCTACTCGAGTACAATAAAGGCTGTTTGCTGTTTTGTACCACAGCAAAAACACTGGCAAGGGCTTGGGAGGGCACCCTGGCTACGTGGGCACTGGGCAGGGAGCTGCAGCACTGCAGACCTCTCCCCACACTTAACATACCCTGATCCTTGGCTGCAGGAATGGGCAGTAAAATAGTAGATGCCCTTATTAAATACACACTGTTCATCAAATATRTCATCATTCATATATTACAAATATGTTTCATCTCATCGGGGGGAAAAAAAAAGAACATGCAAGCAGWTATAGCAGTACAAAATAATAAAAATATGTCACAGTAGAAATCATCAAACCTTATTAGGGCGTGAGACACATGATAATGTGGAGTAAGACAAGCAGACAGTACAACTGAAAGGCTCTATAGTCAGATAAACATTTTTTAATAAGTAGACAAACTGCGAAGTCTGACATCAACAGGAAAAGGAAATATCCATGTAGACATCTATTGTTTTTGTCTAGAGTTGTTTATTTTTCTACATGAACTTTATTTTTATGTAAAAGTATGTACTGTGGGAGCATTTAAACATGTCCCTCTGAATCTATAAAGGTATTTATGCTACTGGGAAGACTGGAGACCATTAGGGCTTCCAGGGAAAATTATCAYAATTGGGCTGGGTCCCGTTCTACAGCTTGTGATAGGATTCCCAAGTTTAAAAGAGTTGCTGCTCTTTTTCTCACACAAAGGGAAGATTAAAAGCAACAGTTTTGGAGTGGGAGTATCCTGCTAAAGGAACTTTACCAAGCTCCATGGTCCTGTGATTCCGGGAAAGGCTAAAAAACGAAACTTCAGCTCTGTGAATGTTATAAAATTCTAAGTCTCTTTTCTGAATTCCTTATATGCTGCCTTCATTGAGATAAGATGAAAGGATTTCAGACTAATGTGAATTTGACTTTGAAGAAGGACCTTGAGTGAYACCACTGGGGGCAGCCTGTGTGTTTCAGCACGTTCAAAGTCAGAGTTGGAGCAGAACTGTTTGCTGTGTGTGTGCACAGAAACACCCCAACACACACTATGCATCACAGTGCAGCCGCATCATACCCCACACGAAGGATTCATAAAGTGAATYTGTAACTAAGTCAACGAAACTGTAAACACCTTAAAATAATTTAAAAAGAACAGAACTTCAAGCAAGCTGCAGCACTCTGCTCCTGTAAGTGAGCGGGGAAGCAGAGAGAGAGGGACCCAGAGGCTACCGAATGCAGCGACTTACAGTGCACGGTGATGGTGGTCGAGTCCATCATGCTTTTGTCCAGCAGGGAGCACCGGTATTCGCCTGTTGCGTTGCGTCGCACGTCCGTCATTACGTAAGTATCTGAGCTTCTTATGCCTTCTGTTTCTCCCTGTGCACGGAAAACGAAATATTGGCTGTAGACAAGCCTGCTTTAAAAACATTTATTTTGTGGAGGATTATGGAATTAAAAGGATCCTGAAATTCTATAAACACAACTAGATTTAACATTTAAAATACATATAGATTTAGCATCATTGAAATGCAGTTTCCTACTAAAAATACTAAGGTTTATTTTCTGCTTGGCTGCATAGTTTTAAAAACCATTCCAGGAATTAAAAACCTGCTCTTTGAATTGCAAGACGAACCCTATTTTAAGGAGCTATCAAAATAGAGAATCTACAACTTTAACAGGAAGATGATGAGAAGAAAACAGAAGCCTGAAAGAGTCTACTGAAAAGGTGTTAAGAGCAGCTACCATAGCAAAATAAACTGTGTTTCTAAATCTAAATGTATCTAAAAATGATACACTGCATTTAGGAAGAATCATAAAGTGCAGTCCACATTCTTAAACAGCCTAAGGAAGCCCTGTTCAAGCCACTTCAGGATAGGAGCCTTTCAGAGTACATCACTACCCTAYGTATAGATCCCTACAGAAACTGGTGTTTTGATCCAGCCAAAACGTTGCTTTCCAGCTGTTCAATTCCCACCTGATCGCAGCCACCTGACTTACAGAGGCCAGTTTTTGGAACAACTGCAGAATGAAGCTCCAGTTCCCATCTCTGAATCCAGAAGGATATTTTCCATGACTGTCATGATACCCACGCATTTTGCCAAGAAACCAGTAATTCCAGCTCCCCTTGAGTGAAAGAATTAATTCCAGGTAGCAGATAAAACAAACTGGGATGTTCAGCTCGCTCARTGTGATGACGGAGAAAGGACAGACACCCTGTGCTGCCCCCTCCCACATACAGTGAATTCTTGGAATTGCTTTAGTTTAAGGGACACTTGACTGGAAACCTCAGTTCTGCTCCTGCCGAACCTAACTGCCAAGCTGAGGTAAGGCAGCTTCAGCTTTTATTACCCCTTGCTGCTCTTCAACCATTCAAAGATGCCAGGAGTTCAAAATGGATGAGGYTACATTCAGAGAGCTACATGTTTTTAAAACACTTGAAAGCATCCTGCCTCTTGCGCCTTCTCTCAAGATCAGCTCTCCTCACTACTGCAGCATTAACAAAAACCGGTATCATCTACGAGACAGAAGCAGAATTTGGGAAGAAGGTATGAATCTTAGAAAATCTGTCTGTAGGTTACAGCAATCATAGAAAGATTAATGATTTTTTTTTTCATTTTCTGTATTCTTTTGTAGTTGGCAGGTTTGTTCTACACTTGGTTGCTGTGCTGACATCCTAGTTCTTGTTTGTGATGGCATGCTGCAAAACTTACATAAACAAACAAAAATTGCACAAAATTTCATCTGTGAAGGTCCAATAAAATGGCTGACAATTTCCTAAACTTCTACTGCTGGCTGTTTGTCTGTTTATGACAACAGATGAGATGACTTCATTTAAGGTGCTAAACTACTTCTCTCAAAACCACATTTTTCTCAAAATATATCATGATAAAAAAAGAAGACTAGCAACTTTAAGAGGCCTAACCCCCTAAAAATTTTAAGGCTGGGGAGACAGGGGAGGTTTTCTCAAGAATACTTTGCTAACTCAGGTGAAGCAGCCTGCCAGAGTTGGATGTAAAGGCCACCAGCTGCTTCCATTTAGCCACATCAAGTCCCATCCTTCCTTGGTCATGGCATGGTATGTGCGGTGGCCACATAGAGCAGGGTCTGCAGGAAGGCAGGAGCCAGGCCATGTCCCTAAGCAGCAATGGAAACTTACTGGAACGTAGAACAGGAATTCCTGTGGCGGCGGGTTACCGTTCCCCGAGCACCTCAGAGTGATGTTATCACCCTCTTTAATGGTCCGACTTTGTGGCAGCACTTGGATAGTCACCTTCTCTGTTGGATCTGTGAAAACGAAATTCACGTTTAACAGTCTTTGCCAAAAAAAATAAAAAAGAAATCACAATAATGCTGGGTATATAGTATTCAAGCCCAAAGGGTACACAAGGTGACCATGAAGCACGTGAGGGTATGTCCATGGGTAGGTATTTTATAGCAGACCCCTAAGTTAATCACGCTTCCCAAATGTATCCCAATCAAAACACTGCAAAGAAGCCTTAYTGCACAGAAATCCAGCATCTGCATATAGAAATCCGTAACTGAAACAGGAATAATGATAACATATGTGTGTTTAAAAACAAAATCTGTTCGATCAGTAGGGACAATTTCACAGTGTGATTTCATTATGAGGGATTAACTTGTCCTCTGTGAAGCYTGCTGTTCAGATGATTGCAGCAATCAGAAGAACAACTGAAGTCCTCAGCACCTTTCATTAACATTAGATAATAATATTCTTCCATTAAAAAGAAACAGGAACTAAGGAGCTCTACCAGGGCTGTTCTATATGCTGATCACTACTGGCTTTCAAGAAGATGAATTTGGTGAACATAATAGGCCTCTTTACGCAGTCAACAACACTGTAAACGTAACATGCTTCTGTCATGTTCAGTGAACTTGAACCATAACTTGTATTTTACTGCAGTAATTTCTCTCAAGCAAAGAGGAGCACACTTCAACCTGTGCTATTCCTCCTAAATTGAAGCCCAGATTTAATTTCTCAAAAACAAAGYGAGAGTAAAGGAAATAACCTGGCCAGATAACTCTCCCTTAAAGGCTTTGATTTCAATGAAGGACAGAAACCATGTCTCTCCCCCAAGGCTGCCACGGGATGAAGTATCCCAAGGAAAACCCACGGGCTGGAACCTGGAGGCATTTTCCCCGCACAGACAAACACAGCGGGATCGGAAACGGATGTGGTTAAACAAGGACGACACCCTTGCAAACCASCAGCTTCTCCCACAGGAGTATTTTATCTTTGTGGCTGCTGCAGTCAACCACGCGCAGTGCCTTTATTTAAAATATAAACTGGAAAGAAAAGAAAGAAGATATATACCTCCCCAAAAGTAAATGGCAAAAGACTGTCTAATCATTCTCTGAAGTAAACTGGTGGCCCTCCTGAGGAAGACTCAGCCTCCCTCTCCTAGCCGTGCGACGGCAGCGCTCGGCAGCTTGCCCACCTTGCTTTTTACTATGATTAATTTTGAGCACAACCCAACGTAGCAAGACTCTAAGTAATTTAGATACCTGATACCTGAGATATTATCTAACTGCCTAATTATCTTATAATTGCAGGAAACAACATAAATTCCTCATCTTCTGCCTGCTCACCACAGCTGCAAAGCAGAGCCCACAGCTACTGCTGGTTACCTATGGCTAGCACACAGTTTAGCAGAGCCCACAGCTACTAAGCTGGTTACTTATGGCTAGCACCAAACTCTCCAGGGGCTAATTCGCTCACACCATGTTAGCAGTGACTTCAAATGGCTATGAAATACTGCACCAGCCCCGACATAAAAGAAAACACTCTTAAAACTTGGAGATACAGATATGGCTTAGAAAGTGCAGTGTTAAGTGTGCACTCCCCATTTCTGTACTGTAACTTGCTTCAGAGATGCAAAATGTGRAAAAAAAAGGTAAAATATTTTTTACAAAAGGCTCAAAAGATGATTTCTATTTCCTAGAAGTGGAGTCTGGCATTTATTTTTATCTGCATTACATCTGACTGAGAAAAAAAATAAGCTGAGGAGGCAGGTAATGAAGAGCACTGAACCACATTCGAAAGCCAAACCAAATGAAGACATTGCAGACATGTCATTACTGCCAAACAACACCAGTCCGGAAATCTCTCCATAGGAACTGTGGACATCCATTAACAACAAGTTTCGCGGATCTGCACAGCCGGACACGGGCGGGAGGAATGGGGCGGCAGCGTCGTGTGGGGCGCACAAGGGCCACGCAGCGGGGCTCCCCTCCCACCAGGCCTGCGCCCTCCTCCCGCTCCCGGCCCATCTGCAGCGCGGCCRCTCTGCCCCTCTCTGGGCAGGAATTTATCTTAATTAATCTGCGCACCGGAGGACGCAGATTAAAGCAGCTGGGCTCGCAAACAGGCTAAATCTGCAGCAGGAAGCGCGGCTGCTTTCTGCAGCCGTGATGGCTCCGCAGGGCTGAGCAGCCTCCTGCTTCCCTTTGCACTGCACTGTCCTCGACTGCACCTGCACGGCGTGCGTGCAGCACAGAAAGGGGCAGGAGCCCCATCCCCAACGGGAGAAGCAGCTCAGGGCATGAACGTGGTGGGGGAGATGGGATGAGCACAGCCCCTCTTGACACCAACAGGGCACCCCGAGCAGGGGGAGGCCAGTCCTGCCTGGCCACTGCCCTCCTTCCCTGGGAACTTGTGCCACAGGCAGCAGCAGTTACTCACAGGCACGGGGCTCCACAAAAGACAGAAAAGAGTGAGCCCCGGTACCCAGCTTCTCAAGCAAAAGCTAAAGAAAACTCTAATTTAATGGAAACTGCAAGCTTGAAATCTTTCTGTTCTTGCCTAGGTAATGGTGACCTTTCCAGAGGTCTTCCTCTCCGCTACTGCTGTTGGTTGTCAAAGGTGAGACCTRCTGCCCTGCTTTTGCTGCTGCACAAACCTTCCCTGGGCAGCAGACACAAGCAGCCACCTGAACAAGCGCACACGGCCACCGCAAACTTAGGACTTGCCCCTTCCGGGCGATGGGGAGCAGGTATGCTGCCGGCTGCAGAAATCCAGTGTGYGCTGCTGCTCATCTGTGTACCCAGCCACGTGACTGAGCTTTTAAGAACACAGATGATGTGTTTCAAAGCCCCAGTGCTGGGAAACTTTAAGCACGTAACACTGATTTCAGCAAATSCGACAGGCCTCACACTTTGTCTATTCCGACCTCAGTCATGTACCAGTTTTGGGTGGCTCACTTCCATTTAGTGTTTTACTCTTCCAGAGAAATGACAGCTACACAGAGTTCTCAGGGCATACATGAAATCCAGAACTTCCTGAATTTGTTAGCAACGAAAATCTGGGGACATAACGGATTTACACTTCATGCCCTTTTTGTTACATGGTGTTTACACAGTACATTTAGAAGATGTTGCCTGGCTTTTGCAGAGCATTTCCAGTGCCTTCCGAAAGCTTCAGGCTTAAGTAAAAAACTAGCAGTAGGTGAATCCCATGCTATAGGAGACACAYCATTTTTACCAGTTTCACTGCTACTTTTTCTCAGTGGAAGCGGCCTGCTCATAAAGATAAAACACTCACACTGTTCCTCTTTTAAATTTGTGCTCTGACTTTAATTAAAGTCACACTAGAGGTCTGCATTAAAGCTTCATTCCCAAAGCAGAGATGTTCCTTTAGCACTGAGGTATTACCGACCAACAACAAGCTACTGGATGCTGGATTGAACAGCCCTCACTGCAACCCCTCATTCTGCTCTGAGCTGCTGCCTGCCAGCACCCGACACAGGTGTTGCTTTACCAGGCTCTGAAACGCCTTTCCCAGCCTCTAACCCCCACACGACCTCCTTGCCCCAGTCTTGCCAAATCCCTGTTTTCTTTACTCAGAGCAGCATTATAACATCCCTGTTGTCAGCAATGCAGCAAGCAGGCTGCTTGGGGACTTAGGCCAGCCCGAAATAAGTAGTTACACAAATTCCTGGGGAAAGACAGAGTCCACTAACATTACGACACACATTCCACATGTGTAAGACACCATCTCACAGCAGCAGAGAAACTACTGCATTTTAGCAAGGCAGTGCATCAGCATTAGCCCAGTGATGCTGAAGCTCCTTTGGGCACATCTGAAAAGCCTTTCAGGGCACTGGAACATACTCACTATATGCACTGCATATTTCAGAGGCCCAGGGAGTCATCTTTGATCCTCAGCAGAGCATCATCCATGCTAATCAACCCCTCCAATTTCCAATGGAGGGTGCAATTTCCAATGGAGGGTGCAATGAAGTTCCTGAAAAATCCCATTTCACTGTAACTTACTGTGGTTACTGCTTTCCTCTTGTCAGCGCAGTGCTCATATTCAGTATTCTAATGTTAGCTAGCCAGAAAGCGAATTCAGGTAAGTCTGAAGATAACTATAAATTAGATAAAAAATGTATTTGGATCTTCTTGTTGTAAACTGGCTTTGAAAAAAACCCGACAACAGCAACCTTCCTGTAATTTTATAAACTGTCTCTGATTTTGTTTTCCCCCGCAGTTACATACAGCGATAGATATTTTTAATAACTTACAGTGAACATCAAAGACTACTGGTTCAGACTGCATTGTTTTCTGTCCCGATGGTCCATAGTATGTCACCGTGCAAGCAAACTTTGCGTTTGCATCTTCCTTTGTTGGCAGGTACTGCAGAGATGAGGTCATGGTGAAGAGCCCAGTTGACTTGTCCACAATCTTCTGCAAATTTATGACCACAGCTGAAAAGGAAACACTGTCTCAGTGTCACACCGCTAGAATTTGGCCCCTTTTCTTTTTCCCCCACTGCAGATGCATCATCCTTGCCCATTCCCTGCTTGCCAGCAGGCTGCAGACATGCGAGCAACACGGCAATTGCCCAAGCATTGCCAGGACTGCCACTGACAGCATAAACCAGGAACGTTYTACCCACCACATATTCCTAACGTACTGTAGATTTAAAATCAAAACAGAAATCTATTTGCAGACTGTTGTTTTCTTTCAACACAAATCTCAGCTTACTTTGTAAAGACAGAATGCCTCAAAAATGCTGGCAAAAAGAACAGAAAACCACATTTAAAAAGAACTGTTATTCTAACCACATTCATAACCACATTATGTTAGAATGTGGTTTCTAACATAATTTCACAGATATTACCTATTTTATAGAAGTTAAAATAACATGGCTTGTTCAGCCTAGCAAAATCAAAGTTGAGAGGGAAGAAAAAAGTGATGTTCCTGAATCTCCTTGAGAATAAATACCTCCAGTAGAATGAAAAGATGACCTGTACAATCCAGAACACCCTCTTGGACAGGTACAAAAATTGAGACATTTAATACCGAATGAGAAGCTGGAAATTAGATAAAGGTGCCCAACTAGCTACATAACAGAGATTCACGAAAGAACACCCTTAAAATGTGGGTTTTTTTAAGCCAGAACAGGACATGCAGGAGAGAGCATACGGTGTGGCTTGGCTGCTCCAAAAGGCCCAGCCGCTTCTTTCAAGTTTCACGTTGTGCATCAGTAGTTTTCCTCAAAGGAATGACACTTTAGACTCAACTCTCATAAACAGAACTATTCAAACATACATCATCCATCTACAGATCCAGGGATATTGTCCGATACTGAGACATACCTTCTTCCACAGGCTGCAAAACTCTCCCGTTTTTGTACCATGTAACATTGCCTTCCGGGTAACTGTCCCTTGCAACACATTCCCCGAGCTGCAGAACAGACAGAAATGGGTTCGTGCTGAAAGAATTTCTGCTTACGGGGGCAAAATTACTAGCAAGTTGAAATGCCCAACCCTAAACACTTAGAAATTGCACGTGGGATGCATGGGTACAAGTGGGAAGTGGGCCGGGCGGTGGGGCTCAGGTCCAACTGGGGCGAGGCCTGAGCGGCGCTGCAGCAGGGAGCGACTCTGCTGGGCCTGGCTGGGGAGCTCAGTCTTCCCCTCACACACACACACACACACACACACACACACACACACAAATGCACCCATAGATGCACCCGGGCACCCTGTGCTCACCCCTCCTGTGGGTCTGGGTCTGGGCTGCAAAGGGGCTCCCGGGGCACAAGGCTCTGCCGAGCACAACGCGCCGCTCTTACCATTTTCAGCTTCTCTGTTTCCAAGAAGTCTGCCTGATGCAAGATCTCGGGTTGAGATGGTTGCTCTAAAACACAAACAGGACAGAAGTGCTGGTAAAAAGAASACATTTTTTTGAAAAGCAAGAGCCACTCTGATACAGCAAAATGGACTCTGCAGCTAAATGGAAGTCAGGCCTGATACAGTCTTGCCTGTACTTTGCTAGTTAGGGGAAAAAAAGAGGAGTTAATTCTACCTAAATATTAGGAAATGGACAGAAGGTGGAAGAGAAAAACCTTAAACGTGTCATACTTAATCTTATGCAGACTGGCAAAACATGTTCTAACCAAGCAGTGTTCAGGAGGAGCAAACCTGACTGATTTCTCTGATCAGATGCTGGAGGACCCACCAGTGGTACCAAAATACGAAGAACAACTTTAACGCTGATGCCACTGTAGCTGAGTTGTCACATTTGCCCTGGGCAAATCCAGACWAAACAGCTAACCATTCTGCTGAAGTTTATTTTCAAAGTTGCTAATGTAACATTGAAGAAGCATGGATAGAAGGGGTAAGTGAGGTACTTCAACTGATTCTGAGTTGGTTATGCCTCTCTCTAAAAAAATACACTTTCTCTTCAGTGCCAATATGTTTTCCTATTTACTTCTGTTTAATGGTAGATGGACCCTTTAGCTTGCCCAAGTGGAGGATCTATCAGTGCTTCCCTCATAAAACACTATATTCTACAGACTATATAAGTTGCCTGTTAAAATTAAGCTTGGCCTCAAGCCTGGAATGCAAATTTTTATCTCCAAAAGGAACTGTTTTGGCTTCAAGTTTAAAATAAGGGGTGAAGAGTAAGAAGGAAAAAAGGGAAAAAACAGAGAGCCGAAAGAAGTCTTCACACTCCAATGTATGGTTTAATTAGGCACACATATTCTGTGTCTTCCTAGGCCAAACCTCTCCAAAACACCACAGAATCACAGGATGGTTGAGGTTGGAAGGGACCTCCAGAGATCATCTAGTCCAACCCCTCTGCTCCAGCGGGGACACCCAGAGCACGGGACACAGGGTGGTGTCCAGGTGGGTTTGGAAGATCTCCAGAGAAGGAGACTCCACAGCTTCCCTGGGCAGCCTGTGCCAGGGCTCTGTCACCCTCACAGKGAAGAAGTTCCTCCTCACAKGGAGATGGAACTGCCTGKGTTTCAGCTTGCAGCCACCGCCCCTTGTCCTGTCACCGGCCACCACTGAGAAGAGCTTGGCCCCTTCCTCCCTACGTTTCCCCTTCAGCTTACAGCGCCTTTTCCCAAACCCGGCTTCCTGTGCAATCAACCAACGCCACCGATGGTGCCCCAGGGGATTCTTGTGCCGTTGCGTGACGATCTCGGGGTGCCTGGTGAGGGGATACCAGTGCCACCCSCACGGGGACACAAAGAGATGGATGCAAAGAGCAAGTCAAAGGGGCARCGGGAGAGGCTATTTACTTGGCTCTCCCAAACAACTTGCCTTTGGCCAAAAAATAAACCTACAAACAAAGGAATCAGTCAAAGGCCTACATCAAAACCATCAGAATGTCTTCAAAGGGCTAACAAAGAATTYTGTTTTGTTTTTTAAGATATGGGCACATTTATTTCTCTCTGGCTAGCTTTAAAGCAAAAAGCTTAACCTATTTTCTATGAGAACCAGTGAAGAACAAAGCATTTTCATGTCCACTCAAGCAAATTAGGTTTCCCCAGGCCATTAAGGGGGCTTCTAGTGCAGATTCCCTGGTCCCGCAGACAGGCACAGTGGGTTCCCAGTCACGGCCACCAGCTGCCAAGCTCAAGCTATGGAGCGTGCAGCTTTCCCAGCTCCCGGCCTAATCTCCTCCCTCTCATCTCCTCTGACCCAGGGCTGCTCCTGGGTGACCTCCTCCATGCTCCGGACGCCTCCGCGTTGCCTCCCTGGTGGCGAGGCTGCTGGGAACAACCTGGGACTTCCTGGGGTTCCTGCTCTCGGGGTGGCTCTGGTTGGGAGGCCACCAGCTGCTCGCCGGCTGCCAGCCCCCACGGCTGCAACACGGCACGGAGGCAGCTCCTCAGGAAAGTCCCCCTGGCATTGGAGCAGACCCATCCAGGAGGCTGCAGAGCCCGTTCCAGGGATGCAGGGATGCCAGAGGCACCGCTGGTTGAACAAGCGAGGCCGGGGAGCCACCCTGGCTGCTTCYGAACTAATACACCAAGCAAACAGCCATGGCGGGGAAACAAGAGATGCCACAAAACAAGGGAACTTCAAGGAGGTTAAATGTGAAAAAATCTACTTCTGGAACCTCAAAGATAGGAGCCCAAAATGAAAAACTACCAAGGTAATTTTTTCTCGCTGAGTTAAGTCAGCCACATGACATATGTGGCATTTTCTCGTCTTGTTTCCCTTAGCAAAGAGAAGCTTTCTCTATTAGCATTAATGCAGGCTATAAAACACACAAGCTGTGCTCCACGGCTGAATTAGCACTGCGCTGATATTTAGTTCAGCATACACTAATTCAAGCAGTTAGCGTTTCGCTCCCCATATACTATAGTCTCATCTCCATACTTACTGCTGTGCGATAAGTAAACATGATAATTCCTTATCATTCCTCYGGAGCACTGCGTTTGCTCGGCGTGCTCTGAGCACACTTGTCCCCACTGTCATTAATTCAATTGTTCTTGCAGTCAAATCCAAAGTGAAACAAGGGAAAGGAATTACTGTCGACTCCTCATCTACCTTCAAACTGATTTATGCCACTGACAGGCTCCTGCCAAAGCAATGCTGAAGAATCCCTAACACCTTCTCCCTGAAAGAGCTCCTTAAGACCCCCCTTCTAGAATATATTTATGGTTTTCAAGTGAAAGTTTGATCTGTTTGAAGCTGCCTATCCCTGCTAGCATCATCTTTGGACATTAGACACCTAATTTGATCATGTAAACCTGCATGTGGAGAGCAATGCAGTCTGAAGAAAGCAATATATGAATATGAAGCTGCTTGAGATACCCACTACAGCCACAGAGCAGCATTCACAAAATCTAACTTTAGCTCAGCACACCTGTGCCCATCTTAAGTCCACACAAGGAGGAAGAGACTTCCTTACGGAGTCAATCAAGGATTGTGCTTCTGCTCTGAAACACCACCTGGAAGAGCCCCAGTTTGTCCACCCTCGTGTCTGGGCTGTGACTCACAGTGCCTCAATTCACACCACAAATCAGTCCTTTGGGGTTAAACTAAAACCAAAGCGATGTGCTCCAGAAATCCCCTTAATGCTTCCCACCGACACTCCTTTGGTACCCGGGGCCAGTCTAGGTGCAGGTCCCTGAAATGCGCCACGCGGATACACCAGCTCCTGAGCACTGTTCAGCTCAACAGATCCTACCTCGTGGCAACTAAGCTGCTAATATAGATGTAACTGTTGTCTCTGGGACACTGGAGAGCACAAAGAACTCTTTCAAGACCAAAATTATCCTCTGTAAAGAGCTCTCAGAGTATGCTGGAGGGTGTAAACAGCACACTGCCGCTTCTCAATGGACTGGATGCCTCGAGAATCTAAAATCTGCCTTCAGTGATCATAAAAGGGAGGCTCTTCAAAAGCTGCTCAATAAGAAGCCTCAGAAAATCAGGTTTCTGTGAGATTTACTTTCTGACTTAAAAACAAGAAGAAAAAAACATATGTATAAACAAARCTCAAGAAAAATCTCAGTTGTGATCAATAATCTGTAGTGTTATCAAAACGTGAATAAACTTTTGTAGCCTTTCTTGGCTTTAAAACAGGACTGCAGGGGGTACCTCCTCCTGCTAGTTCAGCRGGGAGCAGGACATGCACCTTGGGTTGGCAGCTTCTTCTCCAGCCTCTGCCTCCCGCTCCAGGCTCATTCCACTCCCCACTGCCTCCTCGGATCTGCTTTGAGCCTAAACTGACATCTAGTGCTTCAGGCCACACACAGTTAATATTTTTCTCTTACAGAAAAAAAATCACTCAGAGAACAAATGAAAAATAATCAGTGCTAATTTTACATTTTTCATTTCCAAGGCCAAATGACATCACATAAGTGAGTCATTATCAAAGCCTAAAATTCTCTTTGAGCCAGCACTTATCATGAATAAACTGTAAGTGCAGGCAGTCCTGTTATGTAAATGTTACCAAGAGATTACATTCCTTAAAACTGCATCAATCTGCTAGCCTCAGTAATCTACCCAGCAGAACGTATTTTCTTTTTGGCTTTAATCTTTCCGTTAAACAAAAGTTTCCTTAAATTAAGATTCAGGTATGACGACTGTTAAGGGTAGTGACCATTAGTTTTACTTACTGAACACTTTGACTATCGTGGGCCCTTCGGAAACATCGTCTTCGGTTACGAGCATGCACACAAACTTCTTCTCATCACTGATCCTTGCATTCTTGATGGATAACGTGTAGTTTTCAGAGAGAGACAACCTGCCTTTGTAGTCTGGCACATCATCATACTGGACGCTCTTTTTTGTCGATGACCTGAAGGCAATGAATACTGGAGATCCATTGGGCATTTCCTATAATAAAAGGATAAACAGTGCTACCTTTCGTGAGCACTCATCTGTAAATCCTTCAATATCTGCAAACGGTGCAAAAACGTAATTTTAAAAATCTGAAAACACCAYGAAACTGCTTTTCTCCTCATTAATTTCAACTGTACAGGCAGGAAAAAAAAAAAGTGTTATATAAGGGCTAATTCAAGACCGCTGTGGTACCCACCCAGAATATCATCAACAGAAATAATGTCAAGCCTTTGGCTCAATCTCAAGAAAGGACGGGGCCTTCTGTGATCAAGGCTGGTGTTTCTGCACCACCTGACTTCTGTGTATACGAAAAATGTGTCTGAAACAGAGGCATTCACGAGCTAGGCTCAAAAGCTTCTATTTYCTTTTTTTTTGACAGTTGCTTTACATATTCATATTGTGAGTCTGGGATATTCAGAATTCATTCCAAATGCAGGACTTAATCAGGCATAACTGCCTATTTTACTCTAAATTAGCTTTTTTTTTGTTTGTTTCTAAAAGACCCAAAAGCTTGTGCCACGGGAATATACATACAAATATTGTTATTTATGCATCTCAAGATAATATGCAACATATCATTTTCCACACATCCTCCTTACATCAGTATGCAGTTGCCGTCCTAAGAAAGAACACAAAACAGAACACAGTCTTGCACAAACTCGTCATATCAAACACTCATTTTTATGAGAGACAAGTTGCAGGGCATTTGCCTGGATTCAGTTTCTCCTGCACACACAGAAAAGGGACGGTCACTGTCCCCCTCTAAGGGTGACGAGGTGAAAAGTTGAATCCATCCTTATGTTCGGTATCGTGCTGAGGGCTGGAAGAGGTTTTAGTTCCCTATTAGCTTTTATCTACTTAAGGCACCACTGATACTCSTCACGCTCCCAGCACAATCTCTCAGCCTGACTACAGAGCCTGCAGACGTGGGATGATGCTGGGACAAGGGACAAGCGGTGTCAGAGTCATGGCAGAAAGCAGGAGGCATCGACTCGCTCCTCCATAATTTTTTCTCCCTTTCCCACTCCGAAAGCCATACCTGGATTATTTTAAACGCCCATCAGTCAGGGAAAACAGGGCTGTTTCAGAACTTGGCTGCTGGGTGCAAATGAGCTCTTAACTCTCACTGCTTCCAGTGTGTATGGGGCACTCTCTACTCCCCCAAGAGAGCATTCACTCTACTACTCAGTGAAATAACCACCTTATCCAAAACAAACAAAACAAAGAAAGGAAACAAGGAAACAACCTCCTCCCAATAACTTGTGCTGCCACAGAGGGAGCTGCCTGGAGAGAATGGGCACAAGTTCCACTTGACTGTAAGGGCTATGTCAAAAAACTCCCCACAAGTGTAACTCGGTAGACTTTTTTTTTGCACACGGTATTTTGTGGCCTTTTATTATCACGATTGATGTTATCTGTGAAGTATGCACACTTGTAGCACTTGTTATAACAAGTCATAATGTCTCCATTTATTGACTAGCACTCGTCTGAGATGWACAAACCAAATGCACTGGAAAAAGAAAATGGATTTCTTTTTCTCAGAATAGCCTTGTGTCTTCATAGAGATCCACKTCTGTCTTTCTAAGAAAAGTCAATAGACCAAAAAACTCATTGTAAAATGCAGGCCCTGAATCTTTTGAATGAAATACAAACTGAAATATTTTTGCCCTCCATTTTATGGAAACATTTTCCACAGGGTTCTGACTCAGCAGCCCAAAACATGTTTGTGSAGCAGGAACTCTTCAGTGTGTGGGGGCTGCCAAGACTGCGAACCCACAGGTACAAGGGGAAGAGCCGAGGGGATAATGCAGCAACTGCAGGGGCAGATATTTAATATTCCGGATATTAAAATGGGGCAGGGGTGCTATTTTGAAGAAGAGGAGGAGAACTATGTAATCTTAATCCCAAACCCACTGACCCACTGCCAGAGCAGAAATACAGGCCGCGCAGTCACTCCTCKGCAACCGGCCCTGCCAGTCCTCATATTACCTCTCACCGATGCAAAATTTTGGTTTGAGCTTAAGAGGAGACTTAAATTAGCTTCAGGGAAGTGGGAAAACCACCTTCCCCAGTCTCAGCCAGAGAAGCACGAGGCACAGAAGCTGTTYTCCTGTCCTGCTCTGTTCTTTTTCCCCCGTGTCCGCTCCCAGTGTTTGGGGCACTCCGACCTCCTTACTCTCCTTTTGGCCATCCATGTAGGACAAGTGCATTCCGTGGTGTCTCTACCACAAGCTATTGGAGGTCACCATYGCTCCCTTGGCACGTGCATGGTGTGCCCCTGTTCTCCACATGCCAGGGATGGCAGGGAAGCCCCCAGTGACTCTGCTAACCTTGGCTTTGTGCTCTTCCCTGTGCATAAAATACACCGGGTGTGAAAGCGGATTGAGTCGCACCAACCACAGGCAGGGATGGAGTTTTCCCTGGGATGAAGCGCTCCCAGCCTCGGGCAGGCTGCTACAAAAGCGTTCGGATGCGCAGGGATGGCTCTGTCGAACCAGGGAGACGGCCCCGGGTAACGTGCCAGATCTCAAGCACTGGCTGGCAGGCAAGTCCTGAATAAATTAGGTCTTGAACAATGAGATTAATGCCTCGTACTGCTCATCTATACTTGGCATAAATTCTGCAGATGGTAATCTTGCCGTCTGACACAGAAATAAGTATCTTTTACTTGGCAGAAACGCTCTAGCTTGGCATCTTGCAGTCTTACACGCACTAAAATATGTATCTTCTTACACTAGCTCTAACGAATTAGGGGGAGGTAAGGGAAACTATACTTACGTATTTCCATTTTCCAAACATAAGACCATCTGGTACTTCTAGACGACAAGGCATAATGATAGTATCTCCGTACACTGCATTTACTGTGTGCAATCCCAGAGCTAGAGGAGAAAGAAACAAAAAGAAGGAAGCAATTTTAGTGTTTTTTGAATTCCAACAYGCTACCCAGCATTTAGTTCAAGGATACTAAAAAGGTGTGCGTGTGTGTGTGTGTCTTCCCGCCTGGAAGATGCTGCACGGCAAGGCAGAGAGGCTGCCGTGCTAGATGAAGACCACGATCTCCCATTTGCTATATAGCCCGCAAGAACTATTAAATAGCACTCGGTCCACTAGATGGTGCTGAATAAATGCAAACTTTAAAAAACGCTACAAATTTTGGGGGGAAAAAGAAAAAAAATCAGCTAACTGAAATAATTTACTGGAAGAGGCCCMATGTTCCACAAAATCAAACTCTTAGTGGAAGTAAAATGGAAAAAAAAAAGGAACAAATGTCCCCCTTGGCTCTCTCTTGCAGTCCTCCTCATTCTGATCTCTACAAGAGAGGCAAAGTAATTCTAGTTTTAAAATTTGAATCCCCGTTTTTACTTCTGCTAGAGCTAGCAAACAGTCCTTTTGGGTTCCTTTCACCCAGCAGGGCACAATTACAAGGCAGACTTGCTAATATAAATTCAAGAAGTGTATATATATATTCAGGAGGTAAGCTGGTTAGTACTAGTTCAAGCTCCAGTGAAATATCACTGGTAATTTAAAATTCTATAATGGGATTTCACATTGCATGGAAAAATAGGAATCTGCTCCTTCTGCTAGGATCTATTGCCTGTCATTAGGGGAAAACAAAATAACCCTGCGGGATMTGTACTGTTGTTTTCTTTATTGCTCTCCCCTAGACAATCATTTAACCCCTGCAAATTGCTATGGCAACACGTATATGCTATCAAATACTTGATGAAGGGCCTCGGGAACATGAATGAACCTGTTTGGAGAGGGGATTTAGGTTTATAGCAGTCAGAGCAGGTAATCAATGAGCAGCCTGATGAATGGAAAGAGTGGCCTCTGATTTAAGGAAAAAAAAAAAAAAAAAAAAAAAAAACAACAACAACAACAAAAAAAAACCTTTAATCTAAAATGTATTCCTTAAAATGGACAAAACACAGCATCCTGGCTTGCCATAAATTCTGCCTGAACTAAAATGATGCAGTTTTCTAGAAACTCGTAACGTGTAGAAGCACGAAGAGGTTCCTATTCCTGAGGTGTTTATTACACAGTCACAGAAAAACAAGTTCTTACAAGAATACAAGAGGCCTGGCTGTAAAATATCCCCCTCCCTACTCTCTAGCAGCAAATCTAGGGCATTTAAGGAGCGCAAGCTAGTTAAATCACTGAAAACTTTCACAGCAGGAACCGCAGTAATCTCTGCAAAACAATTTTGCAAAGCAATGTATTAAGAACGTTAAAGGAAAAAAAAAAGCCCTAAACAAATTTGCAAGATCCTCTTTTTTTGTGTGTTGTTATTAGTTGTATTTGTAAAACGCACGGCTGGAAAGGGAAGCAGAAGAAAATGACTGCTTTGTTTCTCAGTGACGCTTGCCATCAATCACCGTTTTCCGAGGGCCATCGACTTCCCTTCTCCTCGCAGGAGCAGGAAGGAGCAAGAGGAATGTACGGACAAGGGGCTCCATGGAGGCTGACACGGAGCCACGTCAAGGCCCCGCACGCGGCCCGGTGCGAGCGGCTCCGCGCGAGGCCTGGGCGCCCATGGCCGCCGCRGGGCCCTCCCGCAGGGCRGCCCCGTCCGCAGGGGCTCCCGGCAGCGCCAAAACGGCGCCCGCACCGCTCGGCGCGGAGGGGCAGGAGCCCGTCACGGTGCGTCGGGAGACGTTCCGCCAGGGAATCCGAGCTGGGCACCCGGACAGGGCGGCTGGGATTCCTCCCGGGCGGTCCCTCCCTCGCTGCGGCCGCCATTAACTGCGGCGCTTTCCTCAGGCCTTGGCAGCGCCGTCGGCCTCCCTCCTCGTGGCCCTCGGCACACGCTCCCCTCGGGCAGCTGCACCCGCGCGTCCTCGGGGTGACCACACAGAAAGGCCCTGCTCCTTATTGGAGACTGCCAGGCAAAGGGGGTGCTGCTGGCGCTTTATTTTAGGGCCCCGCCATGAGTGCGTGATGCAGGCTGCAATTCAGAATAAGGATTATCGTCATTTTCAAGCCACCAGGGTCATTTWAGGGGAACAGATAGAATGCGAATATCTGAAAGAATCAGCAAACTTTGATGGTTATCCAAGGAAATAACGAAAGCTGTAGGAAGCACATGGAAAGTAGTCATGTTCTCCACCTATCTCCCATTCAAAACACCAAATGCTTTTCATTGCAGCAAATGCCTTTTTTAAGGCACTTTGGAGTAACATTTTTGAGATGACTTTTAAACAGAACGAAGGCTGCTTAGACACCCTTTACAAGCAAGATTCGATGTAGACTATGAAGCCACCTCAGAAACTGGTGACCGTCGGAAACGCGGCTGCCTCACGGCTCCGTTCTGTTCACTAAAGCAATGGGAAACGGGCAGCTTGAGCCCCCTGCAGCACCCGAGGCTGGGTGGACCTAAGGTTCATGTCTGCTTATTAACAGCATTTTGCATTTTTCTTTTAAGGTAGTATATGAATGACGGGTGGTCACTGGCGTGATGCAAAAGGTATTAGCGAAAAACCTGCCCAGCTCTGAATGAACGAGGCCGGCCCTGGGAGCGGGCACCTACTGGCCCAGCTGTAGAYGGGAAAATGCTCCAAGGTGATTTTAATACTGAAAAGTATTTCCCAATTAAATGGACATAYGGTTTAGAGAAAAAGTTATAAGAGTTGGGTTCTTGGGATAGGGCTCAACTTTAACCACTTTTTCTCCTCCCCTTTTCCTTGCTTACCAAAACGTCACCTTTTCTGCAAGACACGTCCTAGTCGTTCAAGGCTGGATCATGGGAGCAGAGGAGAGATAAGTGGACGCGTCACGGTTCTCATGATCCCCTAGCATGGCCCCACTGGAAGCCCGCTGTAAAAAACGGGAAGTCCTGAGGGGACGCAGCGAGTTGTGAAATGCGACGTGTTGTGCAACGTCCTCGCGGCCCGGCCGCACCAGCCTGGGGGCCGGACGTCACTGCAGCCCCCAGAGCGCCGCACGAGCTGCGACCCCAGCTCTGTGCACAGATGTGGGCCTGGGTTTTGCTCACGAGCCCTAACCAAAGGCAACCGGGGAGAATATTCCTGGTAGCACCACTGCATTTGGAGCACACAGCACATCACATGCTACAGCATTTCAAAAGACTAGTTAAAGGAAGCATTAGGAAGCCCCACGTTATCTAAACCTACGCACATGGTAACCCGCCTTTTGAAGAGCCAGGTACGAGCTCTGTTTTTAGGCACTGAAACAGGGAAGCAGGAAACATGTCAAGAAAAATCAAGACAACCTGAAATTGATTTCCTCCACCTAACACACATGACTGAAAACAAACAAGCATGCATTTACGTGGTATGCATACCACGTGGTATGCGCATGCATATGTTATGTGGTATAGGTTATATAAACATCATATGCTTTGTATGTCCACCTCTCTAAACAGGGAAGCAAGTCTACATGGTGATTCAGATTACAGAAGGGCTATCAGTTGTAAGAGAATCATCTATAATACCCAAGAGAAAAAATAAGTGCCAGTAAACAAATCTAGCAGCATTTCATGTTACAGAAACTTGTAAGAAAACGTAAGAGAGCTTGCTGTATAGAGTTTCTTATGCTTTATCACAACATTACTTCAATGGTTTTCAAATGCTGTGTAATATGAGTGCAGCCAAAGAAAGAAAATCCTTTATCAACTTCTAGGCACAGATGCAATGGACAGCAATTACCCTTTTCGGGTAATCACTGCTAACATAAGCTCTCTGAAGATGTAAAATAACTGAATTGGAAGGTACATTCATTTTTTGGCAAGACCCAGCTCAAAGCATGGACTTGACTCTGGAAGATGCTGAATCCCCTTTTGATAAGCTGGTTAAAAAAAACACCACCAMCAACAAAAAACCTACTAAATAACTCTAAAGATACAAGCAGTCAAACCTGAAGGGGAGCACTTCTGTGCCTAAAACTAATTTTGGCAAATACTCAGGCAGATTAGGGAAATGGAGCCTGGTGCTCAGCAAAATTAACCCGTCAGGTAGCACACATTCAGAAACAAGCAGAGTTTTTAATGCTAAAAAGAAACTAAAAGAAAATAGAAGAGCTGGAGAGCGCTCGTTTAATGTCAACACAATTCAGGTATTGTTACCCTACGAAGTAGCATGCTATATATAAAATATACAGGCTTCTTCCTTACTAACAAGGAAGTATTACTAAAACAAACACTACTGATGGAGCAGAAAAGAAAATACTGAGAAAAAAATAAAGATAAACCCCAGTGCTTTCACAGCAATGAAACTGGGCTCATACTACGTCAGAAACCACGTGACACTGGAAAAGCTGCTGCATATAGTGAGAGGAGGAGGGAGATGAAGGGAGAACAGATTGTTTTTAGCTTAGTTAGAAAACCCTAAAATATTTTAAAAAGAAGAAATAGATATCACTCTGCAAGTTTCTGAACCTTCGAGATGTTACCAAGTTCACCAAAAGYGCAGTTTTCCTGTTTCACATCCCCAAACAACTTGGTCCCATACATACTCCTCCCACATGAAAATTCTTCCTCCAATGAGGCCTAGTAACTAAGATCCTGCTGCTCCTTCCAAATTCTATATAAAGCTCTCAAATGTTCTCCAGTCATGAGTTCAAGCATGAGTTCAAGACTGGGAMCTCGATGAGTTTAGGCACGACTGCTAGCCAATTTCCCACCAAACACATTCACCATAATTTCCCAAGTCCTACAATGTGACCAAATCACGAGTTTTGTGTGCTTTTYTGGTTATAAACCAGACTACTCAACTGCAGCTTATTTCACTGTGGGCTGCCTCTGTGCTAAGCTTTCAAAGCACCCTGTTATTTCAGCATCTAGTGGCTACTTCCCCATCCCCTCACACCAAAATACAACTTACATTTCTGCACACTCCCTCCGCAAGGCGCCTGCCGGCCCTTT